CTGAATTGTTTATTGGTTTCGTTGGTGGAAGACATCCACGGTGGTTTTAGCTGCACAGACACAGGAATCGCATTGCACTGCCAGGGATGCTGCACAATTTATAAGTTGCTGGGTTCTAATAAATAATAATGTGCAAGCTTCTGGTTGCAAGTCATCGCAGCCCTGCTGACTCAAGGGGTGCTATGTCAACTGAAACTAATTAAGAGCCTAATTCATTCTCACAGGAAGAGAGAAATGTAGTGAAAGCCAAGAAGAAAAGGCTGAGAAAGTGGCTCCTGCTGCAAGGAAAGGTTTCCAAAGCAATCTTCCATGCTGCTGAAATGATTATACAAACAGGCAACGAAGGTAACACTTCTGAGTCAGTTTTCCTTTCTTTCCTCCTCCTTTTTTCTTAACTGAGAGAGGGAAGTTGTACCAAAGCTGCTTTGCATAGCACAGAGTTCATCTATGTTCTCTTTCTCCCTCTCTTCCTTTCATGAGGAATAATATCTGGACTTAGCACAAGGCTGCTGGCCAAAGCAGTGCTTCATGTGGGAGGATTAGTTTTGGGCAGCATTCACCAGCACAATGGGAAACAGCACGCTCAGGAGATGCTTCAAACCCAACACGAAAAGGAACTTCATTCTGTAGATCTGAGCAGGCCTCACACATGGTGCCTGTGAGCACAAGTAGAAGCTGCTCACTTCAGCAAAAGGTGCTGCACGGGAGATTTTCCTTTCCAGGAGGGGCATCTGTAAGAATTGGGACTGGAACACGGAGCCCTGCAGCACGTGTACTGCCCTCCTCATTGCAGGGGGACAAATCACAGGTCTCCAACATTCTGATTTGGGAAAGCAAGGTCTGGAATTCCGCTCTGGACCCACCACAAGCAAGCTGGGCTTCCAAGTATTTCAAGTCAAATATATTGTCTCCAAATATATATGGCTGCAAAGCCTGCCTCGAAGAGATATTAAAAAGCTCCTTCAGACATCTGCCATGTCCTGTATGATACAGACACGGTGACAGAGGGTTACAGACAGGCCTCTGGATCAGCCACGGTTCAGCAGCTCTACCTTGGCACTTGGAGGACTGCAGAACACCCTCACAAACCAGTCCTCTCCACTTCTAATGACACCAGCTGTTGGTACACACAGCCTACACTTCACAGGTTATTTGCTTGCCTCTAATGGCAAACAAAACAAATGTCTGAACCTACATAGAATGGAATAAGGATCTCATTACAGATTTAATCTTGCCCTTCCCTTCAGTTGCCTTCCTGGCTTTGGAAACGAGTGTTATGAAGTTCAAGGCTGCACAGAAATGGAGGAAGGAAGATAAATTCCTACAGGCCCCAGAAGTTTTCTATTAAAGTTGCTTTAAGACATCTCATGTGGTTCTAATAGACACAGCCCTGCTCAGCAGTGCCCAGCATCAATACCACCACATGAAAGCAAAGCACATATCCCAGAACTGGCCAGCAAAATGCTGATACTGTGAAAAGACAACACCAAATAAGTTTATCTTTTTCTTTTTCTTCCCCTTTAATCACCCATCCTACCCATTCGCTTGTTAAAACAAAGTGACTTGGGTAATGCAAAACAACTGCTGGGCTCACCCAAAGTCCGGCGCCTGGGGCTGAGACGCTGGATGGTTCAGAGGATTAGATAAATGAGATAGAAAGTCCTTTGGGGCTCTTCTTTCAAGATCTGCACAATATTTATACACTTTCTCCACAATGGTCTCAGGCAAGGAGCCATTCAAATACATCCTGAGAACTCCTCTTCAAGCTATTAACTCATCACACTTTCCTTCTGTGGGCTGCTTGGCGAGGCGATGCAAGAACCATCACCCAGTAAAGTCAGGCACAGCACGGAGCACTGCTCCAGTTTGTGACCACAGAGTCTGACTGGTAATGAGAACAGAATCATGAAAATGTTGGCTATTAATACACAGGCAGGGCCTGGCCTGCCAAACGTTGCCCCAAACGTGACCTGGGCAACACCATGAAGTTTCATTTTAATGACAATATGATTAGCAAGGACATACCTCCAAGCAGTTCTGGACTCCAATCCCTGACTGGTTAGCTGAAGTTTCCATCACCCCACTGCAGAGCAAAACAAATACAATAGTTATTGATACATATCACGACCCTGCATTTTCTACACAATGTCTTAACACAGAGTCCACCAACACATCCAGAAGTTAATGCTGGGCACTCACTATCAAATTGCTTGCTGCCGAGCAACCTAGATCTTTTTACACAACTTGCAGGGACAAAAACACTTTGAAAAATGGACACAAAAACAGGAGCAGCGGTGGCATTCTGGAAAGGTGACTGGACACAAAAATCATCCTGCCAGTGCTACCTCCTGAGCTGGTCGTTCTGATGGGTTGAGAAGATGAGGCAGGCAAATTCCACTAGAGAAGGGTTTGCAGGGAAAGATTTTTCAGGGTCTGAATTGTAGGACCCTTTCTTGCAGGCCCTGTGGATGTGAAGACACGACTTGTGGTGAGCTTCCTTCTCTGTTGCAGGAGGCACAGCCACTCACAGAAGGCACTGAAGTGCAGAGAGATGTCCTGAAGCCAAACTCGGCCTACCTGCAACCACGCAGGGTAATTTAGGCCAGTACCCACAACGAGACAAACTCTGCTGTGCAAGGGAAGTGTGGGTTTTGGCTTATGGTGGTGTTATTCTGGAAAACCCTCATGTAGATAGGCACGACTCCACAAGCTGGGGCTGCAATAATTCTCCCACACACTCTTTTTTATGTAAACAAGCCTAACGACGTATGTGGGATGTTTAAGGCCTGGGGAAAGGCAGTCCCAGCTCCCTTTCTCCACCACGGAGCTTTCCACCTGCATCTCCAGGGCAGTGTGGGCAACCAGCTCCCCACACCGCTGGCTCTCCCAAACCACACCTCAGGAAATGTAATTACCTGCACTCCCACCGACTTGTATCCACATTCACCTTCCTCTCTGCCCTTTCACATTTGCCCTTTGCCCATTTTCTGCTTTTCCTGTCCGAAAATCCTCTAATATTTACCTGTGGCAGCCCAATTCCCTGTCCATGCTCACCGACTCGGCACATGTAGCAGCTCTCCCCCAGTTCCACTGTTCTCCCCCAAATATCCTCTGTACTCCCTCAAACTCCTGCACTCTTTTTTCTTATTATTATTATTTTATTTTTTTTTTTTCCCCTCAGTCGCCTCCCTGCAGCCTCCCCATCCCCACCCGGGGCTCCCCTGGCACCGCCTCACGTGCAGCACGCGGGGGGCAGCGCCCGCACCTACCTATATTTAGTGCCAAAGTACTGAAAAAACACTAAATATCGCGTTGGGGGAGAAACCATCCTCGCTGGGCCACCGGACAAGCTCTCCCCTCCGCTCCCGGCTCCGGGGGGCGCCGCCGCCACCACAGCACCGAGGCGACCCCGGGGGCTCCCCCGGCGCCCTGCCCGGCCTCACCGCCCCTCCTCGGCCGGCTTCCCCCCGTCAGGCCCGCCCAGCACCGCCCGCTTCCGCCACCGGGGCCTTCAGGGAACGGACCCGGGCCTTGTTGAGGCCTCGGAGCTGCTCGAAAGCGGCCGAGGGGCCGGGGGAAAGCGGCCGGGGCTCGGCAATGCTCCGCCGCCGCCGCCCGGCGCCGCCTCAGCGAGGCTGTGGCGGGAGGCGGCCGCCATCACAGGGCGCTGCAGCCCCGCGTCCCCCTGCAGCGAGGGGGAAATTCAGAGAAATTCAGTCCCTGAGCAGGCTCCCCGAGGGCCCAGGAGGTGGTGGTGAGGGAATAAACTCTCGGAAATCCTCCGCCTTGGCTGCTCAGCTGCTCTCCAGCTTGGACAGAGCGACTGCCGTTTCTTAAGTGGCTTCGTTTGCCTCAGCATTCGCTGTCAGAAGCCGTCTGAGAGAGCTTCTTTTATTTATTTGCTTCTTTTTTAGAAACCTTCTGAGAGAACTTTATTTATTTATTTGTCTCCTTTTTGTCTGCTGATGATGGAAGCTGAGCCCTTGGGGCTATTCCCGAGCATAGTTCAGGGGGGTTTGGTCACCCCAGGAGTCAGCAAAGCACATCAAAAAAGTGACAGAAACGGAATAGCCCCCACAGAAAAATGAAAGGTTTATGGGGCAAGAAGTGTACAAGGTGAGGCCTGGCGACTGGTCCTCAATGCTCTCCTTCCCTGCGTTATTTTTGGGGTGGGATTGTTGACTCCAAGGCTCTGATGTTCTGAACCCACCCTGTGTGAAGCCATTCCCGAATCTGCCAATATCTGTGTCAAAATCCCCATAAAAAACATGCAGACATTTAAAGGCAGGCCTGCGTTCGTCTTTTTCAGCCTGCCTATGAAAAGATGTGTTCAGGCTACCATTGCTGCGGGTAAATTACAGCTACAGTGACAAAAATAAAGGAAGACAGTGATAAACAGGGGCTGCAGATGTTCTTCGTGACTGTGTTGTGTATTTTAAAATCTTTATTCGTCTTTATAAAATACTGAGGTGCGACATCTGCATGCACAGTAAATACCCTAGCAGTATAAAGAAAGAGCAAAACAGCGCGACAGAAAAATCCCTGGCACCTCGCACAAATCCGCGATCTGTTTTGAATGGAAAAATCCAGCGCGCTTTCAGTTCTCACAATGGCATCCAGGCTCCATTGTAACGAAACTGATGAATCTCAGCTTTGAAGAGGATGGAAATTCCCAATCCCGGAGCCTGTGTGTGCACACAGGGGCAGAAACGTCCATATGCCTTCGTCTGTGCTGGAAGAGCCAAAGAAAAGAAAAAATGAACTGAGTGGACGTTCATGGAACAAGGTAAAACAGAGGCCACAAGAGGTCACCTTGCCCATGCTGGACCGAGCTGATCGGCCGAGCAGATGCCTTCTGTGCTCCTCAGAGCCCTCCGGTTTGTGTTAAACAATGTCAGACGTTTATTCGCACACCAATACTCCGGACTGGGGCTGGCAAATCAAGCAGGTCTGGGAGCTCAGACAGGAACGAGAGCCTGGCCTAGAGGTGAGTCTTAGCTGCAGTCTGTATGGAAATGGCACTGAGCATCTTCCTTCATCTCGTTTCATCCTGGCGCTGCCCGTGGCTGAGGTAAGGCCTCGATGTGACATTTTGTGACAGATGCGCCTGGCCCTAGTGTTCATTTCACTTCTGGTTTTAGTTCAGGTCCATATTACGCAGAAGGTGTTTTCATAAAACACGGGGATTTGCACTCTGGGGACTTCCCAGCCTTAAATTCCTACAAGACTTGCAGTGACTGGTGCAGTTTCTGCTGTTCTCTGTGCGGTGCTCGATGGGTGGAGGATCCAAACTAAGCTCATTGTAATTAGTCTCATTTATCCATGCCACATTACATTGCCATGTCCTGCAGCAAATGTGATCTGTTCCCATGGACCCACAAGCCCAGATGTTGCGTGATTACATTGGCTTCGGCGGAGTTGCTGCAGATTTCCTGCATGGCTGATGGCAGCAGCAAATCCACGGTGTGCAGAAAATTAAAAACTAGATTAAGCTGTAACAGGATCGGTGCCAATCCTTTTGACACTCCTGGTACGGGATTGCTGCGTGCATCCTGTGCAGGTCGATCTGTTTCTGCAGCACCCACAACGTGGTGACAAACCCTATGTGCAGCTGGGGGGCTGCACCTCTGGCTGGCTGTTTAGTTTTTTAGTAGTTTTCTGCCTATTTGGTCCTTTGGAGATCTCCAGCATCTGTTTGGAGTCCCAAGCTGGGGAAAAAATAAGGAAACCTTGAAAAAAATAGGAAGACTTATAGCTTGTATAGTCTTTAGCTGAGCGAACATTCCCTTTGGTAGCTGATCTTTTAAATAGGGGATTTCTTGAGATTCAGCAGAATGCTTTTGTAAAAAATCAAGATCATTCTGGGCAGAAATGATGTTTAAGCACTGAATTAGCACGACTCGGTGGCCAGCGGTAGGACCCGAGGGAGCGGGCGTGCAGCCGCCGCAGGGGAGGCTCGGGCTGGGTGGCAGGCACAGATTTTTCACCCAGAGGGTGGCCCGAGGGGGTGCCCAGGGACATGGGCAAGCCCTGAGCCTGCCGGACTTGGCGAAGGGCTCCAACCCTTTTGGGGTTGGGATTTTGGGAAGGCTTTAGCGGGGGGAAACCAAGCGTTTGGCAGCCGGGCGCTGCGCAACCCCCCTAGAAGCGGGCAACCCCCGCAAGCTGCGCAACCCCCCGGCGGTAGCCAAACCCCTGTGAGGTAGCCAAACCCCCCTGGGGTTGAGCAAACCCCCGGGAGCTTTGCAAAAAAAGCCAGAACCGGCTTTTGGAAGAGCTGCCCGGGAGCCCCCCGGCCGGCCCTTCCCGGTGGCGGCGGGGGGGCGGGCGCTGAGCCGCGCCTTGCTGCGCCGCCGCCGGGCGATGCGCTTCCTCCGCTGAGCTCCGAGCAGCCAGGATGACGGTGGAGTTCGAGGAGTGCATCAAGGACTCGCCCCGGTTCCGGTAAGCCCGAGGATTTGGGTTTGGTGGAGGGGGAGAAGGCGGCGTCGCCCTAAAAATGAAATTAAGGAGAGGGGGGGGGGACCCCAGCGCTCGGCGCGCCGGGGATGCGGAGCCGCCGCCGGGGCCGCTCCGAGGAGCGGGTTCCTGCCGGGGGACAGCGCTGGGGAGCTCGGCTGGAGGCATCTCCCCCCTGGGAGCACCCAGGGAGCACCCAAGGAGCACCCAGCGAGCACCCAAGGAGAGCCCGGGGAGCCGCGGACATTTTCCGAGCGCTCCCAGCCGCAGCTCTCGGAGGGTGGGGGGTTTGTAGCGGGCTGGAAGGAGGGATCCGGGCTCTGCCAACACAAAGACCCCAGCCTGGCAGCGCTGCCTTCACATCGGCTGCTCACACCGATGCCCCCGGCTGGAGAGGAGCCTCCACGGCCTGGGTGCGGGTGCCAGGAGCATCCTGGCGAGGTGTCGGGATGGGGCAGGGTGTGCTGCTGCTAGGGAGGGGAGCTGGCAGCTTCCACAGCTGGAGATCTGCTGCTTCCCATCCCCTGCTTGGCTGGGGACAGAAGGGAAGAGACAATAGCCGGCAGAAGCAAGTTGCTTGGACGTGGGGCAGGGGTAAGAGGTACCAAGGGAGCTCCCCTTCTCCGCAGACCGCGTCTCGTTGCAGCCTCTCCGAACGCTTTTGTTTATTAAGCGGAAGGTTTTGCATTTTCCTCCCGTTTAAAAATAATTTCCTGGAATGCGAGCTCCAGTACAAAAGGCTGCGGTGGCCTGGTGCCGGGGCGACTCCCAGCAATCGCCCTGCGTGTGGCTGTGTGCAGCTGCAGGTAACGCAAATACCTGGGCAAGTGCCGCCTGTGGGGCGAATTTTCCCCCCTGCTATGGGATCTGCAGGGCTAGGGGAAGGGTCCTCCCCACGTTTTAATTTTAATTGAGTGCTGAGAGCCTGCTCTTGCTTGCTCCAGAGCTGTTTGTGAAGGTGTAAAGGCCAGTGCCGTGGGAGGTGACGGGCTGGTCTTATTTGGCTGTCCTGGGAGCTTTTTCTGGGGAAGAAGTGAGATGCACAGACAGGTTTGCAGGAGGTATGAAGCTCTGTCTTTAAACCCGTGCTCGCTCAGCATCAATCAGAATTTATTCCTTTTTTTTTTTTTAACTGTCATCTTACCCCATTGTGCTGCCGAGCATGTGAACTGCTCGGTGGCATCCTTCCAGCGCGGTGACTTCACTGTCCAGATGTCTGGTTCCACATGGCAGTGACCCTTTTCCCGCTGACGTCAGGATTGATTGAGATGTTTATTTATTTATTTTGCCTTTGGTGCGCGCGCGTGGGCTTGGGGCCAAGTTTCTTAGTATGCAGGCAGCATCATTCTGCTCTGTCTGCTCCATCCGTAAAAACAAACCAGCCCTCAGAGCGCTGCGCTGGACCTTTATCAAAAGGCAGTTATTTAAGCCCGGAATTATGAACTATTTCCCCAATGGCTAGACACAGTCTGCCTGCTACAGGGAGAACAAGAGATTAGGCTGCAGAAGGAAGCCTGGAGGGTTCAGGAGGGCTGCAGGGTGTATAGCAGGGGAATTTGTAACCACTACCACTTGAAACAGTGACAAAGTACTGACATTTGCAGGCCTGTAGCAAAACCAAAACCAAAATACAGCTCTTCAGACTTTCTCAAGGGGTACAGGGTTTAGTCTCCTGCTGTACTTTTCTTCCTCCCAAGTCTTTAATTAGTTCTGTTACAATTATTTGATGATGTGTCAGGGACAGGCTCTCTTCCCAGCGCGGGGCAGAGATGCTTAGTAATGCATCCCTAAAAGCTTACAACTATCAGAAACTAAAATACCATGCAAAATGAGCACCATATAAAAATGTAGATAGAAATGAGGTGAGAAAAGGTAGCACATTGCCCACCTCCTCAGCAGAGACTGAGACAGCAGTAGGTAAAGTGACCTGACCCTTGCAAGGGGAAGGCTCTGGGGATGAGGCAAGAACTGAAACGGGTTTCCCATCGCAGTCCTCAGCCGGGAGAGTTTGTGTCGTGGTTTGCAAGAGCCTCGTTCCCCTCAGCGCTGAGCCTTGGGGATGACCGGGTCGTTGTACAGAGGGGAAAGAAAGAAACACCAAACGATTACACAGAATAAACACACTCTGTATCAGGCATCCCATAATAAGGCGACCAAACTAAGTCTACGTTAGCAATCGGATCCAGTCGCACATCAAAACACCCAAGGCAGCAGTCGCCATGCAGCGATCCATCCCAGCCTCCTACTTCGCAGGGCCCAGTTGCTGCGAAGGGAACTTTCCTTTTCCACCCCTTAGCTGCGTGCAGGTCTGCAGGCTGGCAGGGAACCTGACGTCTCTTGGGCATCTTGTAGAGACACGTAGATGCTGTTCCAGTAAACAAATGTAAGTACCTTGTAAGACCAGTTCCAGCACATCTGAATGCAACCCGGCCGTGCCGTGGCTTTCATCTCCCCGGAGCCCTCTGGTTAGCAGCAGTAGCCTGGGAAATCTAGGAACCCGTTTCTGCCTGGCTTCAGCCCTCGGGGTGATGCAGCGATGACCCCATTGCTGCCCAGCCCCGTGCTGAGTGGATTTGCTGTGCTACCATGAGCACATTTTGTGAAACGGATGGCCTTGGGCAAGGTCCTGAGCTGTACCCCCAGCTTTGTCCCCTCCTGGCTCTGAAAAGATGCTCGTGGTGCTCGGGGACAGCTGGGGACATCGACACCGGACCCGGGTGCGAGGAACACTCGGGAGGACGAGGGTAGGGGAGGAACAAATCGCAGGGGTCAGGCCTGGCTGCAGCACTCTGCGGGTAGGAAACCCCAAATGTCTCTGTGGTAATTCCCACGGGGGAGGGAAATAAGCGGTTATGTCCTCACCGAGCGCCGCCGGTGCCGTTGCTATTAACCAACCCTATTAATTGCTGCAAGGGCAGGGGATCCAGCGGGCTCCGTGTGCTCTCAGCCGCTGGCGTCTTCTCGAGGACCTCCTGTGGCTGCCACGACCCGAGGGGACAGCCAGCAGCAGCAGCACCCCGTGTGCCTCCAGCCAGGCCACCGAGGGACCTCTGCGCCTCTTGGGAGGGACAGAAAACCTGGCAGTGAGGCAGAAGCTTCACCAGAACAGGTCCATGCCCTGGCTGAGGGCACTGCCTGCACGATCTCCTGGCTCTCGGTAGGCAGAGGGAAATTCAGGCAAGGAATTCCAGCTCCTTGAAAGGTGCCAGAGGAAAAGAAAGTGAAAGAAAAGCAAGTGCATTGAGAAAAGGCTTCCTAACTCCCACCAGGGTGTTTCAAACAGAATGGGAAGAATTAAGAGCACTTATTCAAAGTGTTCTTGCTGGCTCTGATAACAGATTGAGTTAGAGGAGCTTAGAGCTGGCGTAACCAGTTTGAAGGCGTCCGTGCTGTGTGAGCATGTGGTAGTGAAGGCCTCTGCAGAAAGATCTTCAGAGCTTGTGTGATTTTCGGCTGGTGTTAATTGCCTCTGCACACCCCTGCCATGCAGTTTGATGGCAGCCAGACTTACTGGTTGAAGTCACCTAAAAGCAAATTGAAATCACACCCAGAGTGGTCACAGAAAGACTTCCTCTGCTTAACTAAACCCAGGTGAGCAAAAAGAGCACAGGCATTGATTTGGAATTGTTTTTTGTTACACAAGGCTCCTTATGTAAGCAAGAGCCCTGCTACCGACTGCAGTTGCAAGAAGATAACGCCCACAGAGAGCTTCTCTTTGAATCGGAGCCTAATGAGTACAATTACCATCAGCGCTGCCTTACATGCACGAGAGAGCAGATACTATCAATCTGTATCCATCATCATTCCTGCCTTTATCTGTTTACTCCGTTTCTCACTCTTTGCCATTGCTTTTCTGAAGTCACAGGGCCTGAACTACGCGCAGGGAAGAGTCACAGCAGAGGTGGCAGCGTCGAGTTGCTTCCTCTCGCAGCCGTGAGATGTGCTCCCCGTTTCACCCGTCCGTGTGTCTGGCCAGCCCCCGAGTATCTGTGCCTCAGCCTGCTGCTTTCCACTTGCAGTGAGACTTCGTGGTAGCATATGGGAGCAAAATTCCCTTGATTTGAGGCTCCCTGACATCACAGCTGCCTTGGGAATCCTGAAGTGCTGAGGAAAAGCTGCAGTCCAGCCGGCGTTAGTGCGGGCAGATCTGAAGGTGGTTATTCATTTATTCAGTCATCGCCAGGGAGAATCCCCAGGGAGCGGAGAATTGCCGGGGTGAGAACTCAATTGAGATCTGGGTTGGCGTCCTAAGTAGTATTTCGTGCCAGATTTTTGGCAAGCAGTTTCCTGAGCAGCTTTGACTTGTGAACGGCACGAGCAGCGTATCCCAAAGGGCCGAGGGTCTGAAGCTGGAACCCCATGGCTTCATCCCAACGCCCCAAATCAGCGAGGGACTTTTTTTTTTTTGTGTGGTTGCCAGGATAAAATTGGCAGAAGATAGAAGCTGGGAGCTTGCAGTGGATAGCATTAGAGTCCGAAATGTGGTATCTGAGCCTGCTCTTGGGAGATAGGGCTCACAAATTTCATGGTGTAGCACACAGACGAGGGGAATTTTGGTATTCCATAATTTGGCAAATTGTCTTTATTAGCTTAATGACCCCCGTGGAGCGTGCTTTGCTGTGTGACTGTGCCTAGAGAGGACGTTTGCAAACCCAAATGTTTCTGGTTGTCTGACAGATCAGCGTGGGAGCTGGAAGTTGCTTTCCTTTTTGGTAGCTGTTCCTCTCCGTGTCCTTCTGCTGCCTGGGATGCGCGTGGCTTTGCAGGGGAATGCAAATCACCTCTGCAATCACTCCTCTGACATTTTTCTCTCTCCCCAGCCCTCCTTCTGCTTGTCGTGAGATAAGTGTGAGGAGCAAGCTCTGAGCGATCCCACGGAAGTTTGGCCGGGTGTGAGCTCTGTCTCGCACATGCTGAGAGTGGCTTTGCCTCCTGGGATGGCCAAAAGCCACCGAGAAAGCCGAGGTCAGAGTTTCCCCAGCTGC